TTTTTTTTTTTTTTTTTTTTTTTTTTTTTTTTTTTTTTTTTTTTTTTTTTTTTTTTTTTTATCTAGTTAATTTTTTCATTTGTATCATAATTTTTTTCTTTTTTTACTATGAAATACTACAAATGTGTGAACCAATTATGTGAAATATATTTTTAATGTTAAAAATATATTTCATTATGATTTTAAATTGTATCTGTAATCGAGCAAGAATTAAAGCGAACATTGTTGAATTGACGTTGAATGAACGTTGAAAAAGTTGAAAGATGAGTTACTAAAATGTTTTTATAACTCCTCTTTAATTTAATAAGATAATGACAATATCTTAAAATCTTTAACGTCCAGGAACAATTTGTTGAAAATTTAGCATAGTTTGTTTTATGTGACAGGATAATTTTTACGAATAATAAAGTATTTTTAGCAGCATTATTGGCAAACTTTTTCGACTCGTCAGTCGCTTTACCAAAATTTTTTTCAGAATTTTTATTTAAAATATCATTAGGTGTAGTTTCATGTTAATGCTTTTGTCATGTCATAAGTTATGGTTGTTCGAGTTTCATCAATTTGCGTAAAAAAGTATCTGAAAGTCTCATTTTTTAAAATTATTCCTCTAGACTGACAATAAATACTTTTTCTACATTATTAAAAAATTGTACTGTATTAAAAACTAAAGACGAATCGTATGATAATCGTTCCCCATTTTTTAATAAAAATTTTTTTGGAAGCACACCCTTGAAACCGGCTCCCAATGTATGTACTGTAAAGGGAAAAATTGTGAACACGGGTTTCAGTGGTAGTAATCTATACGCAAAAATTATATCTATATATCTAGATTTTTCTTTCATAGTACATGGCATTGCGAGCAAAACAAGCCCGGTTTCAAGGATGTCCTTAAAAAAATAATGTAAAAATCGGGGGACAAAACCGAGATATTTTTTGTGGATTTACTCATACATATATAATTTATAAACCGTTGCCGAATTTGAACCTTACGCATAAAAGAAGTATCGAAAGTTTATTTAATATAAGATTATGTAAATAAGTACGCTTATACAAACTTTATTTATATTTGTACGCCCTGCAACGAATTTTTAATATACGAACGATTCTACTTTTATAATAAAACAAAATCCATAATTGTACATGTTTATAAGTCCATCGATCACAGCAATTGTTTAAAAGGCTATGTACTTTCCTTCAGAAATCAAATGAAGTGACGGAGACATATCTGGAGGTTCAAGCCTACTTTTTAATTAAAAAAAAATAAAGAAAGAAACATTTTGCAATGTTACTGCTAACTATTCTAATTTTGCAGAAAAAATCTACTTTTGCAGTTGAAAAAATATTGTCAACATTGATAAACTACTTCTGTTCAGTATAGAAAATGTAAAATATTTCAATCGCTACTCAAATGTATTATTACATAGTTATGACCTCATCAAAAGTCAATCAAAGGTGTGTTATTACAAACCCATGTACAGTGTAAATAATCAATTATATAGTTATTATTTTACATTAAGTGTATCAAAGCAATCTATATAATACAGGCTATTTACCAGATAATTTTTTAAAACAGTGTCAACATTTCAAATTTGATTTTTAATAAATGTAGTAAAAAAAACCCTGTCTGTGTGACAATACCTATCATCTTTTTATTTTATAACATTGCTCATAAGTATTAGCTGATTCTAATTTCTATATTTTTGCATACTTCTCGATGATTTAATAAAAATATTTTTATGGTTTCAGAGTTAATAAAAAAAAAAAAAAAAAAAAAAATAGTAACATCAACAAATGATTTAAAGCGAATCAAGTTTTTTTGCGAACCTTACTCTCGATAAGTTTATAACATTCTTTGTAAAAGAAATTTGAAGTCTGACTAAATTTTAATATCGAAACTTGAAATCTTAAAAAGTTTCATAAATTTTTTATGACCCTCGGAATTTGAAGAAATTCTTTGGTTTATCTAATATAGGAATCACAATATTGCAAATTGTTAATTTAAACAGGATCTTCATCAAAGTACGGCTATTTCTATGTAAAATAAGTTTTGAAGATACCAAGTAAAAGAAAAGGCCTTATTATAAAGGAAGGGTCATGTTTATAACAAGTGAATAATGAGGTAACAAAAAATGCTTCAAATAAAGTGGCTGCATGCTTATCAATCCTTTTAACTGACTGATCATTTCACTGATTATTATTAATTATTAGAGATTTTGGATTTATTTACAGTGACAGGTGATTATTCAACCCTATCTTTTATTTTTTCTAAATTAAATTAGGAATAATCTTCTCATAAGTATTATAAATCTATGCATTATTAAATTTTAAGCTGCTTGAGCTTTCTCAGCAAGACGAGCAGCTCTATGACGCAGTCGGCGTTCCCTCTCGAACTCTTTCATTCTTAATACATAGCTGAAAAAATGATGTTCAATTATGTTTTAATGTAATCTTATGAAACGATATTCATACATATGTCACCAATTATACTGACTCATCATAATAGCAATTGCTAACATCGTGAGCTTGTGGCTTACAATTCCATACAAAGGGAAAGTTGTCCGCTCTACATCTCTCAACTTCTAGTAATAAGTGTGCACAATAGTCCCATTTTTCTTTTGGAATTTTAGCTGCTCTTAATTCCTGTTCTGTTGCAATCATAACTGAAAGTAAATATTGAGAAATCAACTGTTGCTCTTAAAAGTTGCCATGTAAAATAAAAAACACCATGTATCCTAGTTCAAAGAAAGTCACTAAAATTATGAGGTAGGATTAACAAAATACTCAATGTTGTAAAAACTTTATCAAAACAGTGATTATGTCATAAGATGTCAAAGTTTGTAATAACAAAAGTCAGGGCTATTAAAATTCATCTTAGCACAACCTACAATTGTAATGATGATTAATCACCTAAAGTGTTACTAACCACTCAAGTTCTTTAAGTATCGTCTTGTAAAGGTAAGCAAGTGATTGAAAACAAAACAAAAAAATACAAGAGGGAAGTTGTGAAAAAATAATGAAAAACTATGAAGTTTCAGGTTAATTGATCATTCCGAGCTTACCTCTTTCCTTCCGTTCACCGTTAAATCCAAAATTCGGGTCGAACGTCGTTGGTCCATAGGGGACAGGCTGAAGCTCTGGTTCCCAAAAATTATCCCAAGTTCTAACAACCATGTTGCCCATTTTTATGGGACCCAAGCTTACTCGGGTAAAATATTTGATCTAATTTTTACAAGCTTATGTATACAATTAAGAAGTCTTGCAGAATAGACAAATTAACGTAACACATTGCTTTCTACCTTGTCTAGCAGACGAACACACAATCGTTGATATATACGTGAAGTGTGTGTGTATGTGTGTGGTTCTGCAGGTTAGGTTGGACTTTGGAGAGACCATCATTATCTCTATATTTTCATGACTTCCCTCTCCCCCATCCCCCATCCAGCAAACCGCAACTATTATCGATCGAACGGTAAGTATTTATATACGCAGATAAAAATCGTAATCAACTAAAATAAACATATTATCAAAAATAAGTGTACATCCCAAATTTAACATAAGGGCAGTTAAACGTGGAATAATCAATCCCGTGATCTCTTTTTAATTCAAATTAAACGTACAATAAATGTGAAAACAATGAAGAGTATTTTTCTTATGGATATGTTTTGATACGTTAAAAAGACAAGTTAACTCTGTACCTGGTACATGTAATATATAGCAGTGCTGTAATACATTACACATTGTAATTAAATTTTGAGTTATTATTAATCATCATGAAGTAAATGTAATAACATTTCTGTCAGATTATAGATATCTGCATTGAAACTGGTCTATAAGTTTAATTTGAGAGTAAGGCAACCCGGTAGTTTTCATTCACTTTTATATTTTTTTAAACAATTGCTTTGCAATAAAAAATATTTATCATCCCTGATCTATATGAACATCAGTTTCCAAAACCATTTATGTTAACGGGTTGTTAAAGAATAAGACGTTGGTAAATCATTTGCAAAGTAGAAAAATTTATTTCAATGCCAGTTGAAATGAGAATAAAGTATTATTTTTAGAAGTGTATCAGTAACTAATAATATACTTCAATATTTCGCTTCTCTAAACCTTTAGCGCTACTGTATAAGCTTCTCACAACTTTTTTTTAAAGAATAATAATTTTGGTTTTCATTTTTACTCAAGCAAGTATATCTATTGTGTAGTAAATAAATTTTTATCAGCTCGATACAAATCAGAATCAAAATTTTCAATGCTTACTATTAATTAATGCCTTAATAAATAAACTTAATATTAGTCTGAATGGATTTTAATCATCCTCTTCTTCCATTTCTCCGCCTTCTGCGTTTCCTAAACATTCAAAATTAATGTTACTCCATTAATCATGCAGAATAAGAATTATTGAAATTGAAAAATGTTTCAATAAAACTTTAAAACGTTTTCAATTTCAAAAGTATTGAATTTTTTTTATACATTCACATTCACATAAATGATGGTAATTAGTTGAGCTTTGACAAATGTCAACGTAAAAAAAAAATTTAGACTGAAAATAGCATATTGCATTAATATTGATAATGTTGTTGTAAATATTAGCGATGTGAAATTTAAGCGTGTGTAAAGTAATTTTATAAATACCGTTTTGGTGCCTGGGATCCACTGGAATTTGACCTTGTTGTAAAAGTTTGCTGAGTCTCTGAACTTCTTCCAACGAAGTTGCATTTGAAATGGCTTCCTTGATTTTTTCTCTCTCACCCGCACTTACAATAGGCTTATCTGCGGTATCTGCTCCTTGCGCTGCTGCTTTGGCTTTCTTTGATATTTCTTTGAGGACTTCTTTGCCCTTTGAGCTTTTAAAAAATACCCTAGTTTCATCACGTTCCTTTTGTTTTATTTTTCTAAAATCTAGCAATTTCAATTGTGGTAGTTTGAAGACAAGGTATTGTCTGTAGTAAGGTTTAGCAGATACCGGATTTTGTAACAAACACAGAGTAGAAAGTTTCTGCAGGTTAACTAATGGTTCGAGATCGCCAAGTTCCTGAATCATGTTACCCGTGAGCACCAGGGTTTCCAAATTTGGTATACAGTTCTCTAAGCCTTCGGCTATTCTGATTATTCTGTTGTTATTGAAAAACAATGTCTTGATACGCTTCAATAACGGAAACCCATCTAGTTTTCTGACATCGTTGTCTGAAAAATCTATCGTGTCAAACTGATCCTGCAAGAAAAATAATAACAGCTCTTGAATACTTGTAGCGTGATGAAGGAACCAGAATAATCTTGAATTGATTTAAAACAAGAGGTGTTACAAAAACTCATAGGCAAAATTAACCAAATTTGAGACTAACCAGTGTCGCTCCTAAATTTTCTATAGTTGGTATTTTGTACCCTGCAAAATAAAACAAACAATTGTGTATGATTTCTTACATATTTGTTACGGTAAATAAATGAAATAGGTTATGTGGATCATTGCATTTCATCCAGCTTGTGTGCCACAACATGAGTACATTTGCAATAGTACATCTTACCTCGGAGATCTAACTCACGATCTCTTACAGGATTGATGTACTGCATAGACTGTTGAATGAGATCCGGAGTTAACTTGACCATCTTTGAAATATATTTTGAAAAATTAAAAATTTGACTATAGGTAAGTAAATTGCAATTTGTTTCTCATTAGGGCAGCAGCTCTTATAAGCGCGCCTGAAGCGGCCTGACGCCTGACACACTCGGTTGACGCAACACACCCGTTCAAATGTATACTATACCTATACATGAGAGTGAGAAAGAGAGAGACGTCTGACCGGTCTGTGATTATAGGTTCGTTCTTACCCCTTTTGGTTCGGTCCGGTTCTCTTAGCAAAGTATACCTATATGATTATGTATATTTTTTTCTAAGAGAACCGGACCGAACCAAAAGGGGGTTAGAACAAATCTATTGTCCCTGCGGCCAAATGTCAAAAGTCTAAACCAGCCGCCACCCGCACCAGAATTAAACAACATTAGATTGTTGATAATGCTTATATTATATAAATAATTAGAGTAACTACATTTTTGGACGTCGATTTTCGAGTAGAAGATAAACTCTAATCTTACCGCAAATGGCACTTGTATTTAAATAAAACTTTTTAATTTACAACAGTTGGTCTAAGTTGCGGCTGGTTTATAAAATCGATCACATAGCACTACTATAATTACCAATCTTCACCATAATGAAACATGAAAAAAAATATTTCGGTTATTTACGAATCATATCCCGAATAGAAATGTGCCGCAGCTTGCCTGACTGCCTGTGCAGGTCCTGCACAGGCAAGATAGGCATTTTATGCATATGTGAGTTCAGGCAGTGCACAGTTCCTGAACAGGTCCGGTGCTCTTGCCTGAACTGACATCAACTGTCTGCTACTACAGTATATTCTTAACCTTTTTTTCAATTAATCTAAAATGAAGCAAAACCTTTATTCTCGACGGAAGACGCGAAATAAATATAGAATGTAAATTATTCGTAAAAGAAAAATTTTGGAAAAAAGAAAACCATACAGATTTAATGGAAATAATGAAAAAAAAGCTAAACTTACAGATAATATTAGTGAAAACTCAGCTGTACAGTTTGATAAGCAAGAAATTTAGAACGATATTCAGCAAGAAATTTTTGAAGAATTAAACACAACTGATGACAGTGCGTAAGAAAAAAAAACAAAAAAAAAACAAACAAGTGTCAATATTGATGAAGTTCGTGATTTGTATGTACAACTTCAAAAATGGAAAAGAGAGTGTTTTATTGCAAATAGCCACATGGATAAAATTTTAAAAATATTGCAATATCACATTCCCAGCTTACCTGTATCCCATAAAACTTTACTGAAATCAACTTCTCTGTTTAAAAACATTTTTTTATGTAACATAACCTTACTATTTAATTGTGTAAAAGTCAGTTCAGGACTAGATTATATTTGTCCAGGTTGCCTGAGCTAAGGCTGCCTGTGCAGGTGCCTGAGCAGGTCCTGTGCACATCGTGGGATAAAATTCCATTAATGCCTGAGCAGGTCCTGCGCAGGCAGCTCAGGCACCTGTCCAGGACCTGTTCAGTGCCTAAACTCAATTTCTGCTCGGGATGGTTTCTCAATTCTGGTGAGAGTGGCGGCTGGTTTAAGTTTTCGACTTATGCTCTTTGTCTATGAATGTTCCCGGGAAGTAACCGAGTTATCCTATCAACAATATGGTACCCGCGATGATTCTGGAGTACGCTAATTTTGCATTGAGTTTGAGTGTCGCAACTGTATAAACTGTGGCCAAGCGCTCGACCGCTCGTAGGTACCATTTTCCATTTAACCATTGTACTTGTACTTGTACTGTCACCTGCCATGGTACTTGTACCGTACCACAGTCGGTTTGCAGTCCGCTTTGATGGTACGAGCGCTTGGCGCTAAATCGAATATAATGCAACCAAAGTTTAGTTGATAATTTTTAGGCAATTTAGGCGCTCATATGGTTATCACTAGCCTTTAGAAGAAATAATATTTTGTTTATTATTCAATAAGAACATTTTAGTGACTTTTACATTATTCATCGATAGTGTATTTTTATTTGGCGTAAAAATTAATGTATAGCCATGTACTTTTACATTATTACATTATTTATATTTTTTTAATTCAATTACAATTTTTTATTAGCAAAACTTTACACATTTTTTTTTAATTGAATGATTTTTATTGGCTTTAACTTAAGTTACATAGCCATTTCAATTAAAATGGAAGCTTATACATTTTTTTTTTTTTTATTGAAAAGTTTTTTATTGGCTTTTGAACTTATAATTACATCGCCATTTCTATCGAAAGCTTATACATTTTAGTGTATTTAAATACATAATGCCATCTGTTATTGCATTTTAACACCGGTGTATATATACTATATCGTACATTTCTGCGCAACCGGTCAACGCCGGTTACCTTCGCTTGACTCGATAGAAGACTCTGATAGAAGATTCTGAGTGTTGGCCAATAAGTAACGATTTTTCGTGCCCGCTACATCTATCAAAGGATGTGTATATACATAGAAGTGATGGTGTGTATATGATTCGTTCTATATAGTCATCCGCCGGCATGAGCACTTAAGAGCACACCAAAAAAGCATCTAACTTATCTCACTAGGTATATTCATTATATTGTATATAGTCATCAGCCATACACTGCACACAGTCTGCAGCGACATCACTATAGGTACAAACAGCAAAGCATCGCGGTTGAAAATTGCACATCTTTCGCGGCATTCAGAGTTCAGAGCATTTTTTCACCAAAATTTTCGTAGTTTACTATTGGGTTACAGCAGGCCTGCACGACTCTCTTGATTAATACTTATCATCTGCTGCGAATTTTCAAATTTGCCAATTGATACCTCGTTACACGCCTTTTCGAGCTGCATAACGTTTAAAATCATCTCCAGGAGGTGCCCAGATCTACAGCACAAGCCATTTGATTATCAAGACGACGCTGAGTTTTCATAGCAACAGCAGAAGTCCAGTTTCAGTTTTACACATCAGGAACAACACTTTTCAGGTGAGAATCCGTAGCAATAAAAACAGCGTGTTTTTTATTCGTCACCGCTGTATCCCCGTTTCTGTCTAACAATTTTTTTGTGTATCATCTTTCTTTGCCCACCACCCACCTCCACTATTATACCCTCCCCATCGAGGGCGTAAGTATTGCGTGCGAATGCCCATTTCTTCGTGGCTGTTATCGACAAAACACATGAACTGTGAATCCATACTTATCCCAACTCCCATTACTCCAATTCCTCTTCCGAGGCAGCTCATAATAGTGTCACCCAGACCCAAAAGCTTCTTCCGCGTGAGCTTTTCGCAAAGGTCCTTGCACGGAGGGCTCGGTTGTTTGGCAGTGGGTGCATGGCATGACCCTCGTCGATTTGTGCGCAACTGTCGTAATAGCGAATTCCCTCCCAATCCAGATCAACAGCAGTCGCAGGTCATCCCCGACATTCTTTTCTCATTTTCTTTCAATTTATCGTCTACTTTGGAGCAATTGCTTGAACGGAGTGATAAACTTCTGTGGAAACAATAAGTGTAAAATCAGCCACCTAACCAGAATCCTAATTACTTTTTTAAAAATTATCTTTTAAAAATTTCAAAACATTTATACAAGAGCATTTGGCAGTGGCATGAGTATGACATCCCTGGTACAGTAGTGGATTATTACAAATAAGACCTGGTAACACATCGTTTATGTGCGGCTCCAGGGATATCGTACTCTCTATTGTTTCTTGCAAACATTTCTGGCAAGATGTGAGGTAGTCCGATACATTTGCGCGACATGTGTATATGTAATGAATTTTTCAGATTAATAATTACTTCTACATACCAAAAAATTTTATTACTGTATTCTTATCTTGAAAAAGTCAAATAAATTGTGAAAATTAGGTTATTTACCTATGTAGTCATTCATTGCAAACCTACATAAATGTGTGTCAAATTCAAAAGTTGTTAATTTTAATCTAATGCACTTTTTTGATATGTATTTTATGTTTAATATCGTCGTCATAACGCTAACGAACAGTTTTATTTAATATTTTAAATTGAAGTTTTTTAAGAAAATTATAGTAATGGTAAAAAAATTTTACAGAACATTAAGCATTTTCAAATTACACTTTTGAATTTATTGACAAACGTATTAGTTGTGCAAGAGCGTGTATTGCATTGTTTTTACAAATTGAACTACAATTTAACCTGGATGCCCATAGAACAAGTCTAGATTATAAAATTTGCAATTATTCAAATAATTTTTATGTTGAAATTACTTTGTCAGTGTGCCTAATGAACGCTATTATATTGTTACAGACGCTTCAACATGACAGATCGCAAAGCAGTGATAAAAAATGCCGATATGTCGGAGGAAATGCAGCAAGATGCAGTTGACTGTGCAACTCAAGCACTAGAGAAGTACAATATTGAAAAGGTATGTCCTGTTGCTGTAATCTTCTTTTGAATACTTGTTGTGCAAGTTAAGCATACCAAGTATATAATGCATAACTTCGTTTCCTGCTTTTAAGCTATAGTATGCCCTTATCGTTTTTCAGGATATAGCAGCCTTTATCAAAAAAGAGTTTGACAAAAAGTACAACCCAACATGGCATTGCATCGTTGGCCGAAATTTTGGCAGCTACGTAACGCACGAGACAAGACATTTCATTTACTTTTACTTAGGTCAAGTGGCAATCCTTTTGTTTAAGAGTGGATAGGCTATTAAAAATTTTCGTAAATTCTCTTTTTCTCTTCTATTATTCATGACTTAATCTTTTGAGTTTCAACTCTCTCACTTTTTCCTCCTCAAACTTTCTAGTTTCACATTGCATGGTTCTTACCTAACTAAGAAATCCTGTAACAAATTCATGTTTTCTCCAAATAAATTCCAGTAGCCAAATCTTATCTTATTATTTTAAATAATAATTGTTTCATAGTGTATGTGTATGTATACACGTATATTGATAAATTAAAATGGTTAAATATAGGTGTTATTCATTGCTATATATATCTCCCACAATCGATCAAAGCCAATGAAAATAAGTAAAAATATATGTAAGTGTAGACACTCGTTTTGATCGTTTCTTTGATGCATCAAGAGTCGAATGAATTTTCAAGATAGAAGAGCAAGAGGATAACTGGCAAATACATAAAAATTTACTATAAGGTGTCTAACTATTTTACATGTTACAATGTACACACGCAATACGGAAAAAAATTGTTGTTCTCGTGTTTGTGTACTGTATCAATCTACTCATGCACTTTTGCAAGTTGGACTGAGCACTGTAGTTTTGTTGAGAAACTTCGCTTCTATATAAAAATGTAATTTTGTTAATTATCATTATTAATATTGCTGCTATCATCATTATTTGCATGGACTAATTCTTATTGTTGAGAGAAAAACTATTATCTCAATAAAAAATCTAGAAAACTCCTTTATCGTATAGGGAATTAAAATTTTTTTAAATATAAAAACTTTTCATTTTTTTCCTTCAAAAAATAAACTTGCATGTTTTATTTAAAAAATATGTAATTTAAACTTCACTTAACATGACAGAAGATGATAAATGTACATTGAATTTATAACTATATTATATTAACTTTTTTGTTGCGAAATCAATATAAGGTTAAATAAACAAAATTTTGTTGTGTTGTTATTCACACATTGATCAAGTTTGCCTGAAGCTTAAAAAGGTACGTGGATTGGTAGATGTAATGATAAGAGATTTATTTCGTACTTATACACATGTGTTGATTCACCTTAAAATTTTACTAGATATTTGAAATACATTATATTGCGTTGAAATCAAAATTAGCGAATCTAACAAATTTAATAAGTTGGTAAAAGTAAAACTGTTTTGTTTATCTTGAAGTAGAGGTATGTAGCGTCTTACGCTATAGTAATATAATGTTACTGAAACAGGTTTATAAAAAATTGATATATTTAATAATTTATAGACTCGGTAAATTTAATCTCGCATGTAACATGCCAACGTTTTTTGTATAATTTATAGAACTCAATGGATATCATTGATATAATCTTACCCCTTAATTCTTTTGCAATAATTGCAATTTTTTTTCGCCATTTAAAAAAAATTTTTATTCCTAAAATCATGTTTTTTTTTATTCATCTACTTAACGTGTCCAGTATAGTTTTTATCGAAAATACTTATTTCGTCATTTTAAACTACTTATTAGAATCGTACAATGACGTACTAGGTATTAAAGTAATTTCGTGAAATGGTGAAATTGTACCTATTATATATTTATAATACGAAGCTACAACTATATATAGTCGTAGTAGAAATAGTATACATTTTGCTATCGCTATCGGGAAAAAAATTTATTTGTTCGAGACTTTAGTTAAGCTGCATTAGAGGTCGAGTAATTATTCGTTCCGTGAGCCAATCCTACAAATATAAGTTGTATTGCGCGCTGCCGCGCTCTCTGATGAAAGTTCGTGCGTGTGACGGTGCGAGTGGTGCGACACGTCAGCAGGTTCATTTGCTCCAAACCGTTTCATTTTTGCCCGTTCTGATTCTTCAGTTTCCTATACTCACTTCGTTAAATGATGTTCGATTTACTCTAACACTATGAGGATTTTTCCAAGTCTATCCTACTAATTATTAACAGTGAGAAATCAATACAAGCATTTGTCAATACTACAATTCTTGTAGCACCGCTTATTGTGAATTGAAGAGTTTTCAAATAATATGTAGGTTATTTAGTGATACTTCAGAGAGAGGATTACTACAGTACCTATATTGGGTATACATGCGGTGATAAAGGAATCGTTGTATACTTATGCCAAACATTTCGTCTTATATAGCTCCAGCTCTTGTATGTTATTGTTCAATACATTGCAATAACATATTCCAATATTCAAATTTAGTGGATACATGTCGAGCACGGTTATGGCAGAAATTGCGACAAGAGCAAGTGACTCAAAGACAGACGTCCAAGGAAAAAATACTCAAGTTATATGTTGCACTTACTGCCCATCAAAAATACTTAACCCAGGAGCAGCATCATTGACGAATATCACGGTAAATATGTTTTACATGCATTCCGTTTTTCGTGAGATCTCATTATATCTCTTCACATTATTCATTCGACTTTTCAGTATCCTCTGCCACTTGTGCTGTGCAAGCGAGACGAAGTAGATAAAAGAGAAATTATCAATGAATATTGGTTGGTTGAAAATATAAATTCTTTTGAAAATATCGGGGTTACTTATAAAGCCGAAAATGTCAAATTTTTAGTATGCGCAGATTGTGAAAAAGGTCCAGTGGGGTGGCAAGATTTGTCGACATTTCATTCATATATTGCTTTGAGCCGAGTAAAATATCAGAAACCTGCGCTGTAAACATTTCTATTTTTCTTTATAATATTGTCTTTACCGTGACAGATACTATTTTTATGTACTACTTATTTGTCTGCATTACATATTCTTAAGTGAAAGTATGTACACGTTATTAAAAAACTATGCAACAACATTATAAATTATAAATAACTTGTAACTACTTTAATCTGCTTATAGGTAATTTTTTGTTTTTACACCATCTAAATTTCGCTGAAAAATTTTTTATGAACGATAATGAAGACTAAGATGCTAAACATGAGATTAAATATAACTGAATCAATGACAGCAGTAAAAATCAATGATTTTATTTTTACAATGTACATTTGATATTCAATAGCGATTACTATTTGGTTACAAATCATGTGTTCATATGTACAAATACAGTAAGATGTTTAAAATTAAAAAGACAATTGTTTAGAATACATTTATTTTTATATGTGTGCACACTATTTTTAAATTTGCAGGTATTTTTGTTTTAAAAAAAATTTCCTGGGAAATTAAAATGTACCAAAAATATTAGTTTAACAAGTACTAATATTATCTCTAGTGTTTGTGCTTATATATATGTAAATATAT